CCCACTGCATGAATTATTGCTCCATGTGGACATCTATTAGAATGGGCTATCTCAACGTGAAGGACCTGGGCTCTTGAGAATAGCCACAACACAATTTAAGTTTTCCCTCTACTGCTTTCCACCATCTCTCTTACTAAAGATTCCTTGGTTACCTTTCTTTGGCTGATTACTATAACAGGTGATTAATGACTTTCATCTGATGCATCGATGGGATTAAACCATGGTGCAATACATCCTTCTTCTATGGTTGCATTCCACTGCTTTCCACAGAAGAAGTACAAGACGGGTTGCCTCACTAGAAGCTCTGCTTCTGTTTCTGCCTGGTTCCAGTTACCGTGCCTTTGACTACATGTCTGTGGTGCTGAGTTAGAGTGGCAAAATTGTGTATGGAAAGATGATGAAAGTGCACCTAGAACATTCTGGGAATACATTGATGAGAACTTATTCTTCATCTTGTTGATCAGTACTTGCAAGTTTACCATGACTATGGCTGTAGGAAGCGCTCCTGCAGTGCATTTGCTCTGGAAAGCACCAGTTCACTAGTTTTTTGAGGGATGCCTGGCTTCAAACAGATGAGACTTTGCAGTAGATTTAAGCATAAAAAAATGTGCATGTGCCTTCATTATTTTTTAGCAACTATGCCAGCACTGCACGTGTGACTCCAGCATGTATGCCTTGATGTGCTAAGTTTAACCTACTAAATATGAGACCTTGTTGCCTTAATTTGGCAGAATGCTGTGCAGAAAGATGCAGTTTTCCTGATTCCAGTGTGAGTGCTGCTTGATCTGGCTGAAAACAGATTCTCCTTTTTTTCTTCCCCTCTGCCCCATCCCTCACTTCTTGTCCTATAAGTGGATTTATTTTCAGCCCAAGCAGCTCCCTGGCTCAGCTCTCAGTGCAAGCAGATGAACACTGCAGCTAGCACAAGCAGTTGGTGGAAATGAGAGGTCAGACCACCTCCCCTTTCAGCAGTGAGAAGTACTGGTGCAGAATAAAGCGACCCTGGGACTGTGGCTCACCTAATGTGTGTAGTTAATTATAAACTTGTAGTAGTATTTGTATGTACAAATCTGCAGAGGACTGTGCCTCTTCGGTTTGAATGCTCCTGCCCAAGCTTTTGCCATCAAAGCTTTACCTCTGCTGATACTTGCACTAATTGCTTTGTCATGCTGAAGAGAGCTACAGCAGTGTTCTTGCTGCACATATGTATGAGGATTGTTTATTTGCCAAGCTAAAATGCAGAATTTTGGTTAGGGTGAGAAATTGTATTAAGATTCAATTGCGATATAGGTTTGTAATGTGATTTCTGTGAGTAGTGAGTGGCAAGAAACTTACAGCAAGTACTGTGCTGATCAGAGTTATCTGCCTGGGTCTGCTGGTACAATTACGGGCAATTTTTATTGCAATGAGAGTTATATAAAATTTAAATTGAGCTGACATCATGTTCCTGTGACCTAATTCCCAGGCTTTTGTATTATTACTAAAATGATCCAGAATATTATAATGCAGCACATTGCAGAATGACACTCTTAGGAGATTGATACAGCACTGGTGTTTGAATAAGAAATGGAGCGTGGCAAATTTGAGATAATGCTGGGATCTTCAAATTTGAAGGGCTGTGTGCCTGGGTGGAAAGCCACAGCTGTGGTTTGAAACTAGCCCTGCTGATGTTTCTTTTTCTTCAAGTAGTACTTCTAGTTTGTATTATCACTGGATGCCCAGTTTGCATTAACACAAGTTGACTTTATTCTAACTGGCAAGAAAGTCATCGAGCCCCTGTGGAATATTCCAAACTTTAACCGCCAAATTCAATTTACTACATTCTTCCTTCTGGATAGCTTGTTCCCATGACAACCCCATATCAGATGATGCACGTACACACTCAGAGGCTCCCATAACTTTGTCCTTGGGATGACACCAGTGGCATTTTTCTCATGATCTTTAAAATCACGGAGAAAAATAGTTCCTTTTTGTTTGTTTGTTTGTGTGTGTGTGTGAATTGTCATTTGGAAAGCGCCCTGCTTTAATATGTTTCACTTATCCAGAAATAGTAAGAGCAATCAAAATTACATTATTTTATTTTGAATATTATGAAATAATACGTTTGAGTGCAGTTTCTGTTCAGGCACATGATAAGAGACAGTCTTCACTGCAGAGTCAACTTGCTGCTTTTACCCAAGTACCATCCAAATGCATCAATCTGAGTGACTGTATGTGTGCTTACAGCCCACCTTGGGGGTATAGGTCCATCTTAGTCCATCCACTTGCAGTGAGGGCAAAGGCATTGGAGAGAAGTGTAGAGCATTTTATCTTACTGCAGCTGTGGGTAGGATTCCACAAGTCCCTAATGTCTTGCATTGATAAATGAAGCTCCAGGGTAGATGTGTGTCTCATACAATTGTTCATACCCAAGCCAACTTTACCTGCAGTGCTCGGATCCAGATGTGGAGAGCAAGGGTATATCTTCAATGCAGAATTAGCTTGTATTTATACTGGGATCAGTTCCCTCCACATACTCCAACCTCCCCAAAAAATGTCAGACCTAGGCTATAGTAATTTAACAGCAGGCTATCGAGGTTTCATTTCAGCCTGAGTTGGCAGTCCATGGGCCTTGCTCTTTAGAAGACAGGCCAGCCAAGCTGATAGTATTTCACTGCCTTGCCCTGATTATCCTGAGTAATGTTCTGTTGCCTATTTCTTTCTTTACACACTTCAAAACACCTAAAATAGCACTTTAATCCTGCATTTGTCTGCTCTGTTTTGCTGTGCTACAGTATTTGAACAGCAGTGCCCTAAGGAGCATGCCTGCACACAAGTTTGCTGAAAGTAGACATCAGCCTTCTAGTACAGTTATGCTGGCTCATCTGTAAAATCTGTAATTTAGGGAAAATGGAGCTAAAACTGTTTCAAGTTTAGTGGACAGGAAGGAAAATGTCAAGCAGACAAGAAGAAACGAATTTGACTTGCTAAAAGGTTTTGCTGCCAAGTATTTTGGTATGATCTGCGTTAGCACTAAGTGACTCCATTTGGAAATTATTTTACACACAGAATTGTTGTTTTACCATTACAAACAGCAGCTCTATGCTGGGACACACAAATCCCACACACATTCGTGGTTCAGCCAAGTAAAAACATGGTATTTCCCGCAGGAAATCTATCCCAGCATGCAGACTACTAAAGCACTACTGAGGGTGCTGCTGCATATATAAGGCTTTGTAGAGACGACTCTCCCTCTGTGCTGGAATAGCTCAAGCTGTAATTTTTTAGTAAAGGCACATCCTTCATGTTTAGGCATTGAGTAATTTCTTCTGAAATATTTTTCTCCCAGGTAGAGCTATGTTGAAGATGTGCTGCTGTCTTTACACACCTGAATGTTTGCTGGGGTTTTCTGATGATTTGGCTTGTTTAACTCCTCTAACAGCTCATGGCTGTTCTGCCCGGTATTTTCTATTACACTTGAAGTCTCTGCATGCAGAATACAGAGAAAGCTCGACACCTGTTTCATTCTCTTTTGCTCTCAGTGTTTCACCAGACACAGATTTAGTGAAATCTTTGTCATAAGATCTGAAAAATTTATTGCTTCAGGTTTTTTTTTGGTACCAGATTGCATTGTAAATGCAAAGCTGGCCTGCTGGAGCTCAGGCAGAAATGATGTTCTGTTGTCGTCTGGTTGGGTTTTTGTGTGTGTGTGATTGTTTTGGCTTTTTTCCCCTTCCAGTTATTTAAATTAGATAAAGGATAAAGGTTGCAGGACTGCAGTACTTTTACAGCTGTATTAAATGTTATCTTAGGAGATAAGTTTCTATGATTGATTTGTAGAAAAGGAAGTGAACTTAAATTATTTTAAGCCAACCATGCTGCAGAAGGATGGTGGAATGTTGCCTGCTGGTGTTGTATCATCATCCTCCTTCACCCTTTTCAAATTTTAGGGCTGTCATTTCTGCAAGGAAAGGCTCAAGATTCTTTCTGACCAGTTTGCTTTTTTAGTCCTGAGGATAGATGAAGATATTTTATTCAAGCATCAAATTACTTACTTTTATGCAGAAGACAGTTGATCAAAATGTGCTTATATGTATGTTAATTTTACTTCTCTACCATCTGAGCATGCCCTGTTGTTGTGTGCTACCTGTCTGATTTATCAGGATCTTGTAGAGAATCAGTAACTCTCCTTTCCTCTAACCTGAGGGATTTTGGCAGTTTCACCTCGGTAGTGAGGCTGCGAGAAACTGATTTGCCTGCACTTGGTATCGCAGAACTTTGGTAATGGTTTGGTCCTGGCTTTTCTAACATGGAAATCTTTGCCAGCACTCTCAGCATCCAAGAATGTTCCTATTTCCACATGGTCATTTCCTGCCTTGGGTGAGGTAGGCTATTTTATGAAGATTTCTTCTGGTTTATCATTTTTAGTAGCCAAGAAATTTATTTAAAAATTAAAAATAAAGACTTGGTAGGCAAAGGGGATGCCCCCTGAATGCTGATGAGGCTGGTTTCGGTGTGGCATTTCTGAACAGCTGGTGAAATCCTGCTTCTGTGGAAGCACAACTTGCATATGCAAGTGAACCCATAGAAGCCACTTTGTTACCATTCCCTTTTTAGTTCATGTACTCTGGTGTACTCCCCTATTTATCACCTGTAACACATAGGGTATCTCTGTAAGCCTGGATTTACTGGCATTCAGTAGTTAGAACAGAGTAACTGTGATACAGCAGAGAATCTGGCATCGTTGGAATGTTGGAACAATGTATAAATTATTTCCCGTTTTTGTTTTGCTGTTAATGATCAGCCCGAGCAGTTGTGTTGGACATGCCGTGTGTGAGAATGCTCAGAGGCCTTGCTGCACCCACAGCTTTGCGTGCACGATTATCTGTAGGTGCCATAGATGGAAATTGAACATCTAATTACTTTATAAGATTTGTGAACAGAGATTTAGAGCCTGCTTAGCCTCCGCTTGAGAAGTCCTTTCTGTGTGATTTCAAGTCTGCTTTTGTTCTCCTCCTCAGGTCCTTTCACAGATGTTGTCACTACAAACCTGAAACTCGGCAATCCTACAGACAGAAATGTGTGCTTCAAAGTTAAGACCACAGCACCACGTAGATACTGTGTAAGGCCTAACAGTGGAATTATTGATGCAGGAACATCAATTAATGTTTCTGGTAAGCCATTCAAGCAGATTTTTGGTGATCTTAAATAGCTTCTTCTAACCAATTATTTCTTGGAATGCTTTGCCATTTGGAAGTATTAGTGAATGTTTGTAAAAGCAAGAGGTTGTGATTTTACGTAGAAGCAGCCATTTCATAGATCCTTACGTCTCTTATTACTGGTCTAGCAGTAATAGGTTTGGTTTTATATCTTGTTTTGGAGGGGGGAAAAACGGGAGAAATACATAAATCTATAGTTCATTAACAGCCTTAGCCAGCCTGTCCAAACCAGTACTGCTGCAGCCCTGCCCTCCCTGTGGGATTATTTTTGTACGGTTAGTTTTTTGCCAGCTTAACTTCCGGAACCAGCTCGCTGCAGGGTCAGACAAGTGCTTGGACGGGTATGTCGAGGGAAGAGTAAAACTGAGTGGACTGCAGGCACACCAGTTAAGACTGGTGTTGGCTGTTGCTGAGCTGCCTGATATAACCAATAATGAAAACATTTACTTTCAAACACAGTGTACTTTGGTGTTAGAAATGTCAAGTGACTAAATCTTTGTGGTTCCATAGGAAAAACTAATTTTTTTCTGTGACTCGGAAGCTCTTGACTTGCCTAAGTTTTGGTAATGGAAAAGCAAGGAGTGGCTTACTTTGAAAGCATAAAGAGCTGAGTATTTCTCATAAACAGAATGTCTGTATATTATTAACTTGCTGATGATACATGCTTGAAAAGAATATTTTCTCATGACTTCTTCAGTCCATGTTCTCAATAAAAAATTCTGTCAAAGCAGGCAGGAGTGGCGTGCTATGACTTCTTAGTTAAGAAAACAATTTCTATCAGATACATTCAGATTTCGTTTACTATTTAATAAGTTTTAATATTGTCATGATAAGAAAAATTACTTACAGATAGGTTTTACAGTTTGCTGCTAGTCTCTTACCAAACTTTTCTAGCCTGGAATAAAAAATTTGGGGAGCTAAAACTACTGCTAAAAAAAAAAAAAAAGAAAATGTAAAAATCAAGATTTCAGTTTTTTATTTAAAATGTAAAATATTTCAAAACCTCACCCTTGGAGAGCTTGCTTCAACAAAATAAAAATTGATCCCAAATATACTTTGCATTGTAACAGTAAAAGGCTCTAATCCTGTAAATCCTCTTGTGCATGCTTACATTGGCTCACTCATTGATCTCTTGTCTTTAGGATTTCTATTGTGTCAGTTGAGCGTGCATATGATTGCAGAATTGTGCCCTGCTTGCAATTAATCTCTAGGGAATGTCACAGTGAGGAGAGAACCAGTGCAGTGTGGTAGCTACAGGTGGGGCAGGCAAAGCACTTGTTCTTCCGGAGAAGGCTAGCACATATCCAGTAAGCTCTGAAATGCCTAGTATGTAAATGAGAAAGCTCTCTAGAGAGAAATTTTGATCTTTAAAACTCAGGACAACTCCCCACTAAAGCTGTCTGTCATCTCTACTAGCTGCAGGCAAGCATATTAAATGCGTAGAAATCAATGAAGTGATAATGAAAATTAGCATGGTTCCTAGCTACAAATTATCTTCATGCTATAAAGATGTGGATTCTTTTAATCTTTCAAATGAATTTTCAAAATTAAAAGCCCACTTCCTTTGCAGGCACATACCATGCTTTTTTGATCTCAACATTGAGTGTTTTCTTAAACTCCTGCTTGCAATGACCCTTCACTCTACCTTGAGCAGAATATAGTATAGTAGAGTGTGATATGAACCATCTTTTGTTATGCTACCAGCATGCCTAAATCTTACTTGCTTTTCCAGCTCAACTCTTCCCAGCTGCATACCAGATAGAATATGGATCTAGTCCAAGACTTGACTTAAAGTATCCTCTTATGAGAGTGCTGTGCTAACCCTAAGCTATGCTTTGCTCTTGCTGACACAGCTTTGAAAAATTTGCCTTTTCTGACAACTTCATTTAGAGTGATTTATGATTCAGTTAGTTTTGCAATGGCTATGGTATATTTAATCACAAGTTCAGATTTGGGTTCAACATATTTTCATGCTGATAACAACTTAGTAATAATAACACTCCTAAACTGCCATTCCTTACCTTAACATTATGTTTTAAAATGCAAGTAGTACACATTCATTATTTTTTAGGTAATACATTGCGGTAAATTTATAGGTAGATGTGTTACAGATTTTGGGGGTTATAAATGTTAATTTTTAATTTCCTAAAACATTCTAAACTGAAGCTCTTTTTATCTTATGCTATGGTTGAATTTGTCTTTCATAGACCTGTATACATTGCAATCCTGGTATCTCCTTTAAGCCACACTCTAGACCTAATTTTGGATTTGAAGATGGCAGTGTCTTTGGTTCTTATTAATAGAAGAGATCTTTTGGATGGGGGGGATCAAAGATGGAACTTTCATTAACTTAAAGAACAGAATTGTTTCCAGAATTTACAGAAAAGGGGGAGATGTGTTTAACCTTTGCTTTGGAGTAATCTTGCTTAAGAACAGAAGGCTGATTTTGGCGTTAAGTGGAAAATAAATAGAAGTTGTTTCTTTGCCTCTAAGTCGGTTATTTTTCAGTCATGTAATTCAAGTCTTGCACATGGCAGAAATATAGGACTTGAACTCCTCCAAACCTAGTAAATATTACTGATGAGAAATAATTAGAATATAGTTAATTCAGTAGTAACTTCCAGACACTTGAACTGAGCTGTATATACTATATGCAATCTGTCCTCTTGAGAATTGCTGCTAGGTTTTAACATAGCCGTTCAGTAGCACTGCATTGGTACTGCACCTTGTCTCGTGAAAAATCAGTGCCTAAGTATAACGGCATGAAGCCCTGGAGCAATTTGTTAGTTTCTTAGAACATTAGTGGCTGAAGCTGAGTTGGGGACAGCCATATCTTCCTTGCACTGTAGTGACCAGTTACCATTGTTGCACTCCTGTGAAACTCTATCTGTGCTGTTTTGATGTAAGCATATGAGAGAATATTCTGCCTTAATATAGAGCCAGGAGTTAGAAGTTATTCCACTTTGTTTCATAAGAGTATGATGGTTCATTAAAAACATACAGGACGCTGGAATAGATAAGCTTGCTTTATTCTAGTGGAGTCTCAAATACTGGCTTCTCACACAGCTTTTCCTAACTATCAGGATTTAAGGCCCTGTCAGCATGCACTGCTTGCTGCAATGTCAGGTTTGTAGCCCATGTTTTCACCTGTTATGTAAAGGCATGTAATTTTAACAGCTGAGTTTATGTAACTATTGGGAAGTGTATGTGTGTGCTGTCATCTGATTTCATTGCTTTTACTGCGAAATACGTTGATGAGTATTTGCACACATTCCATTTTTGTTAAACATGTCTTATTTCAACAGACATATCTGATTTTGTGGCTTCCGAGAGGTTGAAATCTAAATAAAAGGCATGAATGGATTATAAAGAAAAAGTGAAAAAATATAAGCTTATGCTGATGAGTCTGCAGATAGGTGTATAATAGGAGAAGAGAGGAAGTACAGATGGTACCATCTGTGCACACTGTCCTGCTGACGAGAGACGTGTGAA